TTATTATACAAGGTGTCACTAAAATATGGCACTACCCATCCTGAGCAAATAGAGCAGACTAAACTGAGTCGAAAAGTCCTTTACCATTTTGCGATTTTCGCAATGGTTAACGAGATATTAATTACTAAAAATTGCTAAATATTGGTTTTCAATAATTTTGTACTCAAATATTATCAACTTTACAGAAAAACAGCAAGAGATAAAAATGGTTTATTTTCTTCTTATAAAGTTTTGAGAATTTTTTCAGAATTTTTTAATACCGTATTTTCTCATGATGGTAAAAATAAGAAAATACAGTACTAAAGAGTTAATAAAAAATTCTGAAAAAATTCTTGAAGTTCTATAAGAAGAAAATTAATTATTTTTGTCTCTTGCAATTTTTCTGTAAAGTTGATGGTATTATGAGTAAAAAATTATTGAAAAATAATATTTAGCGAATTTTAGTAATTAATATCTCGTTGCGAAACCATTGCGAAAATCGTAAAATGGTAGAGGACTTTTCGACTCAGTTTAGTGTACTCTACCTGCTCAGGATGGGTAGTGCCGCATTTTGATGACACCGTGTATACATATATACATATACATATATATATATATATATACTTATACATGTTAATTTATTTATAATAGTTTATTTATTATTATGATGCGTCATTAATTAAAACATTAAAAAAAATCTTTTTATTTTTTAATACCAGATAACGGACGTTACTCTCTTTGTACTCGATACACATTTTGCTAAGCAGAAGTAACAGGGTGGGTGGAAATTTGGGTACATCAGATCCGTTACAAAATCCAGCTACTGTAGCTGTGAGATGATGTAAAAAACCAATTACTAATCCTTCTCTGACTTCATCCACACAGAAACTTTGTAAAAATTGCGTTTTTAAGCTGAATGACAAGTCTGGCTGTAAAAATACCTGGAACAATTATAATCAACTTAAGTTTCCATTATTCATATTTACTATTATTAGAAAAACAGAAAATGCAATATAATTACCAAAGCAAGGAGAAGAAAGATTGTAAATGACAAAATCACACACACACACGCACGCACGCACGCACGCATGCATGCACGCAGAAAAAATTACAGAATAGAAAATAAAATATAATTAAAAATTAAGTTACATTAAATCAGAAAATATTAATAACATAATATTAAGAATTAATCTTAAGAACTATATTAAATTAAATAATACAGAGTTCTTACACCATGCCTACGTGAACATTATTAATAAATTTTAAATTTCAATCAGAAATTTAAAAATTTTAAAAAGTAAAAAACTTAAAACATTGAATAAAGAATTAAGTTAGAAGTACAAACCAATAAATCCTGTAAAACTCCTTTAATTTTTTCTATAGTAGGCATAATAAGCGTAGCTTGAAGTTCCGCTAATCCTCCATCACCGTCCTGTGTGACCTTAGTAGCTAAAGTTTGCCTTACTTTCACTAAAATCTCACTCAAGTGTTGCTTCAGACTATGCAAATGATTGCGACATTGTTTTCGGCCAGCATTTACAACAAGATCAGTACCAATTCTGCAACATTATATTAACCTATTATATTTATAGTCTATATCATATGTGTGTGTGTGTGTGTGTGTCTGTGTGTTTATACAAATATTCTAAATTATTTATATATTTTATTTAATATATTGTCTATTTTCCTTCACCTAGTAAAGTCTGTCTCCTTGGACAACACATTCATCGCTTGTAATCTACGATGAAATCTATCAAGAGCTCTCACTAAAATTGCTGTATCTGCTACATCTTCCACTCTTTTGCTCATCAAATCAAAATATTTTTTCATATTGCTCAAAATAAACTTATTCAAATGATCCATAGCTTTTATTTCAAAATCATCAACTAAATCCTCTTCCAATGATCGATTTATGAACATATCATTGTAGGAAGTCACAATTAGACATAAGTCACTAAGAAATCCTGAAGAAGCCATGTCTACGAATTCTATAATGTCGTTTTCGCACATATCTTTCAAAATATCTAATTGTTCTGTTAATCTTTCTTCAGCATGTATCAAGAATTCAGTGCATAATGAATCAGCTGGTTCCTTTAATTGTAGCAAAAGATCTATATTTTCGGCTAAAGCTTTAGCGGAAGCATCTCTCTTATGAAATTGTAACCTGAGTTTAGATTTTAATTCTTCCAAAATATCCTCACAGTCTTTTTGGATGCCTTGGAAGGATGGCATGTTGCTATATTGATTTAAAACTCTTTGCGCATGAACATAATCTTGAACTGCCTAAAAAGCAATAATAATTTATTATTTATAATTTAAAAACTAAGAGAGAATTGATATAAAAGATTTTATATTATTATTACATTATATATTATATATATATATATTCATATATAAAAATATAATATGTACTTCTGCATATTTTTCTTCGTTTATTTTATCCTTAAGATTGCCAGGTAGCTTGAAAAGAAATTGTAATTTTTTCAACAAAGTGTGTACAGAGGAAAGTTTAGCAATTTGTTGTCTTGTTCCATGTAAAGTTGAAGAGATCTGCTCTGAAAAAGAAGTGATGCTTTCCATATTCTGTGCTAAAAGATCCATGTTGTCTTCCATCTCCTTGAAATCAGTTTTCATCTAAAATGTATTTAAAAAATTAAAGACAAATCTAATAATTTCTCAAAAGATGATTTACCTTGCGTATAGTATCAGTAGCAGATATGAACTTATTATAATTTTCATATACCAAGGTCTGCATATCTGAATGTAATGCTTGAGTATTTTTTAGAATCTCTGCTTCGTGATCCATAATTTGTTTTAATGTGCATTCCTGATAAATAATCCAAAGAAAAGTGTAAACAATATGTTTGTTTTATTATATAAAATACAAGATATATTCTTTTAAAATGTGTATAACAATTTTATTTTAGATAAAATAAAAAAGTAATGAATACAAAGTAATGAATAAAATAAAAACTAACTCATAAAACTTTTCTCAAATTAACTTACCTTTAATAACTTTTGAAAATACATGTCAGAATTGAAATGTTGTCCATTAATATCATAAGGATTATTAGTATTCTCTGTCATCTTGCCAATTTTCCTCTTTAATAGATAAATCTTACTTAATTCTTGACTTCTTAAATCTCTGATTTGTCAGATTTTTAGGTATGAAAAAAAAATATCGATAAAATAAATTAACCTTATAGAATCGAACGAAAGAATTTTTTGTATACGTAAACTATCTTAAATTTATATTTGAAAAGATGAAAATTACATATTATACAAAAACCGATATGCTGTGTAAGTGCATACAAACTCTTCAGTTTAAATTTCTGAAACTTGTCTATAGAAATTTATATATATCTAATTATATATATATAATCTTTTTCTCTCTTTTTCTCTCTTTAATTCATATGAAGCATTATTTTTAAAGTCTCTGATATGTTATCTATTGTAATACGTTAAAGCATTTAAATATATTCCAGATAAAACTTAACAAAGTTTGATCCTCTGAATTGGAGATTGAATACATACATAAAAAATTTATTTGTAATCTCTCTGTGTACATAAAAATTTATAATTGTAATGGAATCAAAAAGGACGTTCAAAAAATCCATCTAGGATATTTTTCTTCAAAAGGCTAATGCCTTTGAAAAAAGGTATATAATATCATATAAATCAATTACTACATATATGTAATCAATTATTGTACAGTGCTCTGCTATTGCCATGGCACAATTTTTTTAATGAATAATATTTTTGTTACTATACTGTGTATTTATTTCTCAACCAACAATATTAATTTTATTATTTATATGCATATATACTTACGTATATTCTTCATTCTCTTATATTATTTTATCTTGCGATAACGCATTAACAAGTGTTGACAGCTATCAAATTGTAATATTTGTAGGTTAACTCTAGATTATTCCACTAGTCTACTTACTACTATTTCAATCTCCAGATGCTGCGCAAAGAAGCATAACCCTACATCATCGTTGTACGAAAGCGCAACAAGTGCGGGAAACTCCTTAAATAAATTTACAATATCTTTTCAACAATACAGATATTTTGAACTTTAATGAAATACAGACTTCGAAGTTCTCTTTCAGTTTTATTCGTTATATGAAAAAGTTTAATTAAGAGGTAAGATCAAATCATCCTACGTCTTTCAGCGAAACAAATTTTAAAACTGCAGCAAAATATGGAAATAAATATCGCAAGTTTTATGAAATTGTAAAAGAAATAATATAATCAATTTTAAATTGAGTTCTATTTCGTTGTTATCATTTTTATTAATAGAGTTTTAAAATTTTCTGTACTTAACCTCTTTTGAATCTAAGGAACACAAGAGCAGAGAACAATTAACCTTTAGAGAACGGAAGACGGGTCTATTTTTTAAACTTTACAGATTTTTCTTGAGTAAGTTTATTATTTATTATAATTCATTGTATTCCTTGACTTCAAATATACTGTTTCAACGTCGTTGTAGTGATTTCCCGTTCTATAAAGGTTAATTTTTAATAAGTGTACAATAATAAAGGCGTAAAACAAAAAAAATCGGTGTTCTTAATTCGTTTCTATTTTCTTTTGTTTATTTATTTATTTTTATTGTAAATATTATTATAAATCTTTAACATAAGTTGAATTATTTTCAGGTGTAACGATAGCATATTTCGAAGACCTGTTCCAAATAGAGTTCTATCTCAAAATTCAAAGTTAAGTTTTGTATAATATTGTGTTGTCAACCTCGAAGAGAAAGAATTTCTCCTTTGAAAAAAATCTTTAGAAATTATAATTTCAATTGTATCTTAAGAAAAAAAGACTTAATTTGAAAATCTCTTGAGTTTTGAGAACAATTGTAATTGTATTACGAAAGAAAAAAATTTGATAGTCATTTGACATCAATTTTAAAGAGAAAAAGATTAAAAAACTTGCTGTTTGACTCTAAATAAAAAAAGAAATTTTTAAGACATTTTGAATATCACAATTTTAACTGTAAACTATGGATAGAAAAAATTTGAGAATTCCTCTATGGGCTACTATTTCAACCATGAAGAAAAAGGATTCAAAAATCATATTTTCAAGCTAAAATTCTGAGAATGAAAGATTAAAAAAACTGTTTGATCTTTCAGACTTATAACTGCAATTTTGAACTATACAGATTTATTTGCTTTTGAGACTTGCAATATCCTAATCATGCCACATCCTTGCGTCGTCTGTGGTCGTTCACGCCTGAACCCCAACAATCGTGAGGAGGAATACATGTTTTTCGGCTTTCCAGTGAATGATGAAACTCGTTGCTGTCGTTGGCTAGAGTTTTGTGGTCGTGAGGATCTATACAAACTCTCAAAAAAGCAGCTTCTTCAGCGTATGATTTGCTCCAAGCATTTCCAGCCGCAAGATTTTCTTAATGAATATATGGACCGTTTAAATTTGACGGCAGTTCCATCGATTTATGATCCTAAACAGAGTTTGTATAATATAACATGTATTCTTTGTGGAAAAACACGAAAAGATCCACCTGCAGAGGATTACGACGGAACAACCTTTCACCATTTTCCTGGAGAAGAATTCCGCTGCCTCCAATGGTTGGACTTTGTTGGTGTGGACTCTTATTACAGATTAACAAGAAAGGAAATCCTTTACTGCTATATCTGTTCCAAACATTTTGATCGTTCGCAATTTATGCCAGGATTTAAGGGAAGATTAATAGAAAATGCAATTCCCAAAGTTCGTAATCCAGATAACAGAAAAGAATCTGTAATTGAGTTACAAAACCAAACAGAATCTATTACTGAGTTACAGGCTGAACCAAAACTTTTCAGTCCTTCAGGTAAGTGCAAAAAAGATCCACTGCCTATTACGGTATTGGAAAGCCAAGCTTGTGCAGCTTGTGGTCGGTCAAGATCCGATCCAAGAAACAAAATTGAACGTTACAAGTTTCATCCATTCCCGGCATACGAAATAGGTCGATGTTTACGCTGGTGTCAATTCTTGGGCAGGGAAGATATACTCAAAATGTCTCCCAATCAAATACGCAAACTTGTACTTTGTTCAAAACATTTTCAGACCGGCCAAAGTTTTCACAAAATTGGCCCATGTGATGCAGTACCTACAATTAAAGATATTTCTGAATCTGAAAATATTATAGAGCAAAATGAAGATGATCAGGACCTTGGAGAAGATAGCAAAGATCCTTCCAAGGCGCTTAAGCGTGAGAGACCATTAGTGTCTAGCAAAAAACCCAAGATCGATAATAAACCTGCGCCATTGGCAAAAAAACGAGGAAAATCCCGAAGACCGACTTCCATTAATATTCCTAGGCCTGTTCCCAATTATTTGGACAATCAAATAATTAAAAAACTACCTCTTCCATCTGCAACTAATTGGAAGATTCAGTTGGGAGATCAATTGCAGCCGATTACAATTAATAATATTTCTTCAAATGTTGCAAATAATCAGGCAAACATTAAGAAAATTATAGTACCATTTACGGGCGATATATCAACTCTTGGTGCTCCAATACCAGTTCACAGTTTATCAAGTATTCCTCCGGGATTATTGATCAAAATAGACTTGCCAGAACAAGAACAACAGCGTCAAGAACAACAGCGACTACAACAGCAATCACAACAGCAACTACAAAAGCGATCACGACAACAGCGATCACAGCAACAGCGACCACAACAGCGACCACAACAGCGACCACAACGATTGCAACAACAGCAAAAATTATCAAAGGTGAAGAAGCAAAATAAGACAAAAAACGTAACAAATAGTTCGAATAAACAAATTTGGGAAAATAATAACGGCCAAACTTCCGTTATATTGGGAAATGAGAAACAAAATATAGATAAAAATTTAGTAGAATTTCTAAAAGTGTCTTCAGAACCTGTAGATGAGACTTTAAATTCTAATGAAATAGAAATGCAGGAAGAAGTGATTCCTTCGAAGTTATTGAATGTTGAAAGTGAAGTACAGGTTAGTTGAATAAAATATTTTCATATTTGTTATAATAACAATTACAAATATACAATTCCAAATGTGTGGAAATAACAGTTATTTATAATTATTTGTAATTTCGCGATTGTAGTTTTTGTAATTAAAACGTTATCAATAATTTAGAACAATTAAGTTTCTATATGAATGAACTTCACTTATAAATTAAATATAGCATAATTCAGTTACATACACATAACAAATTATATATAATTGTTATAAAATGATAGTTAATATATACAAAACTGATTATTAATAATTAATGATAAATAAATGAGAAATAGTTTTATATTTGTGTAATTGTGTTCACGAATAATAATCCATGTGACTTTAATAACTCTTAATATGATGTAGATAAAGGAAGAACACTATTTCGAAGAAGAGAAAAAAAAACTGATGAAGAAGAAAATTTCAAGTAAGAAAGAAAAACGACAGAAGAAAATTTCGAAAACCATGAAAAGAACCATGTTTCCTATCAACAGCGAGATTAAATATTTCTTCAAAAAAATGACGCCACTGATGCATCGGTTACCAACACAGGCTAGAGCGATGATGAAATTATCGATTGTTAACATGGTAATTGATCAACTCTGAAATTATAAACCTTTTGTTTACTATTTTGGAATCGAGATTTTCTTCAAAATTTTTTCATAATTTTGTTAATTAAACAATGTTTGACGAAATTTTCAAATAATATTGCTGAAATTTATATGTTTTCGAAAATTATTATCTAAAATATTTTCTTAATGAAATAAATTCTTCAATTATGTTATATTAGATAACGTTTAAGAATACCCCAAAAATTTATTTGAACAATGCGAGTGATTAGAAAAAGATACTATAAAATAGCTTTTGAAAATAAAGAAATAAAAAATCCAAAAATTGAAATAGAATTATAATTTTATGTTTTATAATAATATGTTCAATAATAATTTGTTAAATTCCTATGATTTTTAATTACCGGTTTTTAATTAAATAGCCCATAGTATATATAAGCAAAATTTTTTAATATTTATGGCAAGAATATAATTTAAGCATTAAAGTTAATAGCAATATTATTGTTTCACAATATCGTTTTACCAATGATTTACATATAACATCACACAAAGCTGCTTCGAATTAATAATAAAAATATATACAAAGGAAGATGTTAAGTTAGAACCGTTCTTCGGCCAAAATGAAAAAGTTATGAAATGTACAAATTATATATCATATTAAACTCAAATGGAGTCGAATTTGACTCGAATAATATTTCGCTTATCTTATTATTTAAATACGTGAACACTTCTTTTTGAGAAGAGAAATTCCGCAAGACGTACAATTTGACGCCATAATTATATAACGCAATAAGATATAAGTACTGTATTTACTGTGGCACTATTTTGTTATAATTTCTATACGTATACCGAAGGCGTAGTAGAAATACGCAGACGAATTACTAGATGCTTTTAACGCTTGTGGAATCATTTCATTTCTGTTGTTTATAAAAAAGGAAGAACAAATGATAATCGCAAGCGTTATGAGTGTCAAGTGGAACGCAGCCCTAATAAAATATGAAAAGCGTCATGATTGTCTTTTTTTAATACTTTTAATATCTCCAGTATGCGTTACCATATGTCCTGAAAAAATATGTAGCATTTATTGAGAAAATTCTATATAATCACTTTTTTAAATAGTCTAAATTAAGACTACAGCCGAGTTGCACATTTCGACTCGCCTATCGTCATCCCCGCTCCTTTTGTTTCATAGCATCTAGATCACGCGCAGAGATATGTCATTCGAATCTGCTTAAGTAGCCATTTAATTCAATATATATAATTTGTACATCTTGAAACTTTTCCGTTTTGGCCGAAAAACGGATGTAATTTAACATCTTTCTTTATGTAACTTTGCGAAAAATTGTACAATTAATTTGGAAATGACGCCTCTTATTATTAGAACAGAGGTAAAAGCTGAATGGAAACTAAATTTTCAAAGTATAAGGGCCAATAATTAGAAACTAATTTGGATTGGAAAATATGTAACACTTAAAAAGATTCTGTATACATGAGTGGGGCAAAGAAATTTATAATAATGTTGCGCCGATGATTTGAAATATTGTAACGTATCAGATATGTAAAAAGTTCATAATTTATTCTTTTGTTGTACGAAAATTAATTGAATTCAACATTTAAAATAGTGAGACTTATGTGCCGCCATCGCGTTAATACATTTTTAACTCATGGAAATTGGTCCTTGATACATTAATTAATATTATTAAGAGTACGTAAACTAAGTTTTTAGATTTAAAATATTTTTCTAAAAGTCATTCTATAACTATCTTTCTTTTACAAAAATTACATAAATTAGTAATTCACTATTTTTGCTATCGATTTGAAGAACTCTTTTAGGGTGCATTCCACTTAACGTCCGCAACGCTCGCGAGCATCATTTTATCCTCGTTGTAATCGAATGTCAAACAAAGATGAAGTGATATACACAAGTGTTGCGGACGTTATGTGTAACGCACCCTTAGAGAGTCGGGACTAGACATTATGATACCCAAGTCGCCCTCGAGGCAAAAAAAAATGCGTCTCCTCAGCGCATACTAGTTCTGGCTCTATTTAATTATATCGACAAAAGTGTAACAAGTTTAATATCTGAATCCAATTAGAAAGAAAAACAATTAATTTACGAATAGACTAGTTAGTGCATAAAAAAACGTACCATTATAATTAACTACATATTCTATATTAACAATATGTATGTGCGTGTGTTGCATGTGCGTGCGTGTGTGTGTGTGTATGTGTGTATATATAAGATGGCGCATAAAATGTTATACCATTTGCTTCACATATAACATATTTGTTTTTAACGAAATTGGTACAGAATTGGTATAGAATTAATTAGCAAAATTGTCTCTAATGGATAATATTTAATATAACTGACGTTTTATCTTACCATCTCTTGGAGAATCCTTGTATTTGACTTTTTTTCGACACAAATCTTCAGTTAACACATGATGATGCATGATGTGAATGGAAGCGTCTTTGCCGCATCCTTTGTTTTCGCAAAAAACAATACAACTTTTACTTTATACTCAACATTTTAAGTCAACACATGGTGAAATCAAAATTCTAATTTCACCATGAGTGAACAGTTCGTTATCTGCTATCTTATAAACTGGTATGTGCGCCTTCACCTCCGTCCAATTCCTATTCGTGATGCTACAGCTAACAAAATTTCCACAAAGTGCGGAACGGAATTTGCCTACATAGTTAAAAAAACCTGAAACTTCGCAAATATAGTTTTAAGGAAATAATTAAATAGTATGACATTTCGTGCACCAATCTGTACATACATACACATAATATTTACATACTTATAGACGCTCTCATTTTATAGTGTAAAAATGGCATTTGACAAAGAAACTGTGCTACAAAGGAAAAATAAGTATTGTGTATAGTTTTATTTTTCCTTCTAATTGTAAGATAATGATAATTTTCGTATTTTGTGGTTTACTTGTAACATTTTGATTCCTCTTAGATAACGTATTCTGTATTGATTTATGATAATATATTTGATGGTAAATGTTATAAACAACATTATTTTGAAACTGCCTTTATTTTTAATAGAGATGGATACCACAAGCAAATTATTTGTAAATGATGATCATTTCTCAATTTGTTGAAAATATTCAACGATTGACCGAAAAGAGATAATTATAATTAAAGATAGCTTTCGAGTATCTAAACACAGTTTCTCTGCCAAATAAAATAAACACAGATCTTACAGAAAAAATTATATAAATGCCAGATACAGCACTGTATATTAATCATTTTTTAAAATATATATATATATTTTCACAGTTTTTTCTCCTCTACAACACATTGTTATAAAAATTGTCATTTATAAAAGAAGAGAAATGGTCACTCCCGGTACATAGTATGTGTATGTCCGTAGACGAAGAAAATTTTTGCTATGTATTTATATATAAGGCGTTAAAATATTAATAATTGTAACAATGTCATTACAAATAAAATTTATGTTAAGTGAAAAAGATTTGACAAATTGATTCCTATTTAATTTTTATTATGTTTATTAATTAAACAATGTTTGCGCAGAAACACTACTAATTGCACAGAATTATTCTTTAATAAAAAAATAATTCAAAAAAAAGCCCGAATTATTTTCTCTGAAGGAAATATTCTTAAATAAAGCTTATTCAATCAATGCCTGTGTGTGTGTTTTTATGGTTATATACTCATAACAAAAACATCGATATATTGCAATAATAATACAAATATATATTATAATTTATTTATTTGTTAACAATATTATTCAACATAAAATATTCATTTCACTATAAAGTTGTTAAAAATACTGTATTATATAATTTATTTATTTTGCTGCAACTGTATTTTTCTCACTTCAACTCATAAATAATTTGAAAATTTATAAGCAAATAGCTAAACATAAAATTATATTACGAACTAACAAAAAAAGATTAATATTAAACACCAAATGCAAAGTTTTTCTATTATATTTATAAATAAATTTATATTGATAAAATACAAAAAATGATAAAAATTAAAGATTTCTTAAAAGCTTAATTCAATCACCTTTGTAATTTTCTTTTGTAATTTTGATTAAAAAATTTTTTAATTTTACTATGTAACTTATTCTTTTAACCTTAATTTACACAACAATTTTTCATAATAATTCGTAATTCTAAGAATAAAAAAATTATTTAATAATGAATGTGAAAGTAGATATACAGTGCTTACAATGCTTGCTCTACAAAGTGAAACAGTATCTACAATATGATAATATAATATTTACATTAAATAGCGAAATAACATAATTACGATAAATAGGCAAGTGCTACTATTTATATAAATTGTATTATTTATTTAATAAATGTTATTAAGATACTTATTTCCCTGACATTTGTATGATACAAATATTTTTGAATTATTTAATTATTTATCTAACTGCGAAGACTTTGCAATCGGTTTTTCATCTCTTCAAGTTCTTTGTCATCATCTTCTGTTTCCTCTTCTGCAGAGGTAGAAGCAATTCCAGGATTTTCTGTGACAACTGCGGGAGCTGTACCGAGCTGACCAGCTGTGACTTCCCATAAAATCTAAGAGAATATAAAAGAATTACATTTATATAGCTTTTATATTAAAATGTGATTATTTATGTATGTATATTAATTTTAATAAAAAATTCTAAAAATGATTAATTACAAATTTTTCAAGTAGCTCTAATTCATAAAATAAGCAATAAAATAAAAATCATTTCATTTTATTCTGTTACTATGTTACTAATCAATGATTTACCTTATCAACTTCTTCATCAGCTTCATCCTCCATATCTTCAGAATCCTCAATAGAATCCATTGTCTCATCTAACATTTCCTCGATAATACCTGCCTTCATCATCTCTTTTGACATTTCTCTCATAGTTGCAGCTACTTCTGGTACTCTTACTAAAGATTGCATTGCTTGCATCACTTCTGTGGATTTAGAAACCGAACCAGCAACTCTGATTGTTGCTAACTGATTTTTCATTTGTAATGATACAGAATTTAAGTGTGCCTTAGAAGTATAAATCT